GTCCTCACAGCCAATGGCTTGTCAATTCCTCCCAGTGACACCAACAGCAATCAAAGTTCAACTACAATAAGACAGTGCAAATAGTACACACAGGGGCACAAAGAGTGCCAACTCAGGTGAATGAGGAGGCTAAGCCACTGAGCCCTACAGGACACCTAGTAAATGAGGCCACTCTACCAATCCCAGGAGGCATAGCAGCTCTAACTAATATATATATTAAAAACAAAACAAAACAAACAAAACAAACAGGGAATCAGCCAAAATGAGGAGAAAAAGAAACATGTCACAAAGGAAACAACAAAATAAATATCCAGAGAAGGAACTAAATAATAATGGAAGCAAGCAAACTTCTATAAGGATGCTCTAAGGATCTTAAAAAGAGTTTCAAGGGACTTAGTGAGAATTTCAAGGAAATTAGAACATCAAAGAAAAAGGTCCAGTCAAAAGTGAAGGATACACTAACTGAAATAAAGAATAATTTACACAGAATCAACAGTAGGGTAGAGGATGAAGAGAATAAGCAATTTGGAATATGAGGAAGCAAAAAACACCCAATCAGAAGGGCAAAAATGAAAAAGAATCCAAAAATATGAAGACAGTGTAAGGAGCCTCTGGGACAACTTCAAGCATATCAACATTCACTTCATGAAGGTGCCAGAAGGAGAAGAGAGAGCACAAGATATTGAAAACGTTTTTGAAGAAATAATGACAGATATTTCCCTTACCTGGTGAAAGAAATAGATTTACAAGTCCATTCCCAAACAAGAAGAACCCAAAGAGGCCCACAGCAAGACACATCATAATTAAAATGCCAAAGGTTAAAGACAAAGATAAACTTAAAAGCAGCAAAAGAAAAGCAGTTAGTTACCTATAAGCAAGCACCCATATGACTGTCAATTGATTTCTCAACAGAACCTTTGCAAGCCAGAGGGAGTGGCAAGAAATATTCAAAGTGATGCATAGCAAGGGCCTACAACTAAGGTTACTCTACCCAGAAGAGCTATCATTTAGAATTGAAGGTCAGATAAAGAGCTTCCAAGACAAGAAAATGCTAAAGGAGTTCACCAGTATTACATGAAATGTTGAAGTGTCTTATTGAAGAAGAAGAAGAAGAAGAAGAAGAAGAAGAAGAAGAAGAAGAAGAAGAAAGAAAGAAAGAAAGAAAGAAAGAAAGAAAGAAAGAAAGAAAGAAAGAAAGAAAGAAAGAAAGAAAGAAAGAAGAAAGAAAGAAAGAAAGGGAGAGAGAGAGAGAGAGAGAGAGAGAGAGAGAGAGAGAGAGAAAGAAAGAGGGAAGAGAAGGAGGAGGAGGATGAGGAGGAGGAGGAAGAGGAGAGGAAGAATTCAACTACAGTAAAAACACCCCAAAACATTCAAACACATGGATGCTATTTATTATGCTATTCTTTTAAAATAATGAATGGGTTACCAATGAGATCAAGAAAGAAATAAAAAACTTCCTGGAAACAAATGGAAATGAACACACAACAACCCCAAATCTCTGGGACATAGCAAAAGCAGTCCCGAGAAGGAAGTTTATAGCACTACAGGCCTATCTCAAAATAAGAAAAATTTACAATAAACTATTTAACCCTACAACTCAAAGAATTAGAAAGAGAATAACAAGAAAAGTTCAGAGTAAGTAGAAGGAAGAAAATAATAAAGATTAGAGCAGAAATAGATGACATAAAGGTTAAAAAAAAATACCAAAAAAAAAAAATCAATGAAACCAAGAGTTGGTTCTTTGAAAACATAAACAAGATTGATGAACCATTTGCCACACTCATCAAGAAACAAAGAGAGAGGACTCAAAATAAATAAAATCAGAAACGAAAGTGGTGAATTAACAACTGACACCACAGAAATACAAAAGATTGTGAAAAATACTATGAACGACTATATGCCAACAAAGTGGAAGGTCAAGGGGGAAAAAAAGGAGACAAATGTACTACTCTTTGTAATATTTTAAGCAATAAAAAAAAAAGATATGATGCAAAAAAAAAAAAGAAAAGAAAAAATGATGGCGGCACCCACAGCCAATAAGGAGGGAATATGTTAATTGACTGCCCCGCCCTCAAAGATGGCAGTGTCCACAGCCAATGAAAAGGGAATATGCTAATTGACTGCCTAGCCCTCAAAGATGGTGGCGCACACAGCCAATAAGGAGGGAATATGCTAATTGACTGCCCTGTCCTCAAAGATGGCAGCACCCACAGCCACAAGATGGCCGGCAGGGGAAGGCAGTTGTGGGTAATCAGGCCTGCAGGGGAAGGTAGTTGTGGGGGGGGGAACCAGGCCTGCAGAGGAGGGCAGTTGAGGGGGATCAGGCCTGCAGAGGAGGGCAGTTCGGCGCAATCAGGCTGGCAGGGGAGCAGTTAGGGGGTGATCAGGCTGGCAGGCAGAAGCAGTTAGGGGCAATCAGGCAGGCAGGCATGCGAGCAGTTGGGAGCCAGCAGTCCTGGATTGTGAGAGGGATGTCCGACTGCTGGTGGGATCGGGCCTAAACTGGCAGTCGGACATCACCCGAGGGGTCCCAGATTGGAGAGGGTGCAGTCTGGGCTGAGGGACACCCCTCCCCAGTGCACAAATTTCATGCACAGGGCCTCTAGTGCCTTATAATCATAGTAAGAACCACAAGGGCTGGTCCAGCCACAACATTGGTTTCGATAAACTGAGACCAGCACAAAACAACCCCCCCCCCCAACATAATTCAAAGTAAAAACAACACCAACCACAGAATAACTCTAAACAAGCTTAAGAGCATTCTAGTTTTATCCATGAGGACTACCTTAATGCTTCTTTAAGTATCAAATATTAAATTCTATCCCTGAATATTTAGAGCCCTTACTACATACAGGTCTGCCTCCTGGGTGACCAATGTCTCATTATTCTCTGAAACTATCTTCTGAGCACTTAGTCCCAGACTTGCTGTTCCCTGTCTCTCCCATTGGACTTCAGGCTCCTGGGGAGCAGTGAGTCTGTCTGCACCCTTGGGATCCTGCACAGCTCCCAGCAGGGTGGGGCCTGCTACATTTCTGTGAAGTAGACAATGCCCCTCTGTTCTCGGGTCCTACCCTGCAGCTGAGTGTCCTGGGCAGAGTCTGAAATAATGGACCTAACAGTGGAGAAGCAGGATGGGGCAAGTGTAGGGCCCAGAGGGGGCAGAGGCGGAGATGGGGTGGGGGGTCTCTGCAGCTGTCCCTTTTCGGGGAGCTCTTCGCTGATGAATTTCTGGAGCCCAGATACAAGGTTAGCAATGGCCCTAGTGGACCCTGAGAGGTCATTGGGTCCCCTGCTCTTGGTCAAAAGTTATGGCACAGAGCATCAGGGCTGCTACAGGGTTCATCTTCAGGGCAGCTCTGGAGAGTCTATTGGTCAGAGAAGGGAGTAAGGCAGGGCTTCTGTCTGCCTGACACAGGGCTGCCTGCCATTCTCACGTCAGACTGAGAGAAAGAGGGAGAAGGGAGAGTTGGGGGGCGGGTGAGGGATGAGGGAGAAAGGAGCCTAGATGCTGGCTTCCTGGGAGGCTGCATCAGCCAGAAGACACTTGGAATTAGCCTCAGAACACCAGAGTGAAAAACAGATTATTCACTGTCAGGCTGAAGGATGGAACAAGACAAACAGCAGCCATGCATTGGACATGCAAATTTTGCTCAAAAATGGTATGTGTGGTACCCCAGCAGCTGTACAGACAGCTCAGTGCCACAGCCAAGTTGTACAGATGAAGAGAGAGAGACAGATAGGCAGGCAAGCACCAATGTCCTCTCAGAAGTGGAAAGAATGTGGGCTTTCAAGTCAGAGATGTGAGTTAGATTCCCAGCTCTGTTATTTACAACTTTATGTGGAGTGGGGGAGGGGGAGGGAAGAAAAGAGCTTCTATGGACAGTAACCTCACAGGGTAATCTGATCATAAATTCCTAACTGGGCAGGTCATATCATATCACTTTTTTAATTTACTAAAAGGCTTTACTTTGCCTTAAGCCAGCACTGTCCATTGATTCTGTGCATCTAGGTTAACACACCTTTGAATAAACTGTGACCAGCCTCAAGAGAGCACATAATCTTGTTAACTATCCTTTAATCTAGTTCCTGACTCGCTTTCTCCCACCTCCATGTAACCTTCCTTATGTTCTCTCCTTAATTCCAAATGCATAAAACAAGCCTCAAACTGTTATTCTGTGAAGCATTTGAGACCTTACTCCTGGCATATGCCCTCAGTTTGGCTCAAACTATTGTAAAAATTCTCTACAGCTTGGACTTTTCTTAGGTAGACAACAGGCTCCAACTACTTCCCTCGGAACTTGTGGTTGTGAAGATAAAGCCCAGCACCGGTAACAAATCCCTGGGAACCTCCAAGTATGAGCAGAACTTTCCAGGGCTCCCTACTGCCTCCCTGAAAACAAGGAGGCCCGAGGTGAGAATGGATGGGAAGGGCCTAGGGCTGTCGCCCTGGTCCTCTGATGCTTACTAGTATGGTCTGCTAGGCTGTTTACTTGCTCTCCTCCATGCCACTGGTCAATACTGGTCAGTTTGTCCCTAACCAGGGCCCCTCTTGGCAAGACTGGGACCTGAGCACACCTGCCCACCCTCTGCCTGGTGCTCCAGAAGATGGGAGGGTGACGTGCTGGTTTCTGGGCCCAGCCACCCAGCCCTGTACCTGGAAGGGATCTCCTCAGCTTTTCTGGTGAGCCTCTCGCAGGGTCTGTGAGCCCGGGAAAGACTTCATTCCCTCCACCAGAGTCACCGAGTCACCGCATAGACACCACTCAGGTGAGGAAGGGTCCTGCTCCGAGAGCGCCCTGTCGCTCCTGGTACAGCCATGTGTCAGGCTGTGTGCCATCTCACTCCAGACAACGAAACCTCCTTGGGAGACGGACAGATTCCTCTGCCACTAGGAGGCCCAGTGGGACTCAGACCCTGGGCGGAAGCAGGATTCAAGGGGGAAGGCATGGGCTCTGGGTGGGGAATTGCTGTGCGAGGGCTGTGCCCAGAGGCCAGCTTACCTTGGTGAAGGTCAGGCAGTCCTGGTCCTGGTCTCGGTCCTTCATCTCAAAGTCATACAGGGCTTTGCCCTGGGGAGGGGTGGGTGGCAGGGGCCGGAGACACTGCACATAGCTGGCGGGCAGGAAGCCGTGGGTGCCGCGCAGCTCCCCGTGGAACCAGTGCTCGTCCACCCTGCGCCTCAGGATGATGACGTCCCCCTTGTTGAACTTGAGGTCACCAGGCTCCTTCCCCTCGTAACTGTAGAGGGCTTTGCCACAGGGAAGCTTGGAAGGATTCTGAAAGCAAAACACAAGGTGGGTTACTCAACGTGGCCTTTCTGCTGCCTGGGCGGCCTGGAGCATGGGCTCCGTGTCCGGGGAACGTGCAGAATGCCCTCGAGTGGCGAGTGTTTCAAAGGAACAAACCCCTGTCCCAGGAACATGCAACCCCATGACCCTGCCTGGACAACAGGGTCCACTAGAGGCGCCCATGATGTCATTCCCGCTCCAATCGTCTATGTGAGGGGCCAGGTACTGTCCTTGGCCTCGGCACGCACCAGCTCACTCTGTGCGGAAAAAGTCTCTGAAGCAGGAGCTAAATGATCTTCATTTACAGGTCAGGACACTGAGGCATGGAGAGAGAGAAGGTAACTGGCCTGAAGCCCCACACCTGTTAATTAGGGCAGAATCTCCACCTAGGGCTCTGACTCCAGAATGTTCTCATCCACCTCTCTGTGCTGACTTGATCTATCTCCAATGGGAGCTATTTCTATCCGCCAGAATTCCAACAATTATCTTCCAACAAAATTCTCCTTATCTCTGAAAAGTCCCAGCAACTCAGAACACACCTCAAGGGGGTTTCAAGTTGAAGGCAAGAGACTTGCACAGACTACTGTGTCCTTCCCACTCGTGGTACACGCCTGTGACATGCAGTCCAGGGACAGCCCAGCCGTGGAAGGTGGAGGCCACCCTGGGACTGTGGTCCTCAATGTTTCATAAGTTCTAACAAGTCCCAGCTGTCACAGACCCCCTCAACCATGACTCATAATTTTTTGATGCCTACAGCAGTCTGGTCCTGAAGGACAATATGAAGAGCATAAATACTATCCCCTTACTGTCATGGGGTGTTCCTATTACCCTGTCAAAGGTTAGTAACCCTTCTGAAAGTGATCTGCCATCTTTGGTCTACAACAGTGACTAGCTCTGAACCCAGACAGAATTCTTGGCCATCTTATGCGGTAAGTTGTTGAACTGCTCTGAAACTTGATGTCATCGTCCACGTCCTTGGCTCCTCCACTGTTTCATAAAGGCCAGTGCCACCTGGGTTTCTCTTTCTCTTGTTTACCGGTGGCCAACACCGGTTCAACTGAGTAAGCTTTGCCAAAGGTCAATTCTATGCCAGCAGAAAATCAAACAAAAATCTTACTATTGTTCCTGTGTCAAAACTCAATGATTTTCCTAACAGAGCTGCATTTTCTCCCCAAGGCTGCCCAGGCCAAGGATTTCTTTAGTCTTTGAATCAATCAATACAGGCACAAAAGCCCGAGGCAGGAGTGCATGGGGAGCTTGGTGCGGAGGATTTACTAGCCTGCTGCACCTCTGCCTCCCACATCTGTGTCAGCAATGGCAACAACAGGAGCTGAGGGAACCTGCTGCCAAACTGCTAAACAGCACCACTAACCAACTAAATGGAACACATGAGGATTTGCAGAACTCAATGAGGAAAACACCAGTTTGCTTCCAGCAATACTCCTCCTGGCAGGCTTTGCTCTGCATGCACAGTAGACTGGCACAGGCCCCAGTTTTAGAGAGCCGGGCAAAGTGCTACTTACAACCCAAGGACTGTGATCAGAAAAGAATAGCAGAGGCTGGGGGCCACACAAGAGCCAGTCAGTCCCCAGCCTGGGGATTCCAAATCAGGGACAATTTTGCCCCCCAGAGGTCATCTGGAAATGTCTGAAGACAGTTTTGGTTGTCACAACTGGGAAATAGGTGCTATTGGCATCTAATGTGTAGAGTCCAGGGATGCTGCTAAACAGCCTACAATGCACAGTACCCCTTTCCCCAGCATTACCCGGCCCAGAACGTCCATGGCACTGAGGCTGAGAAAGCCTGCTGCAGTCCTCAGGGTAAATTTACAAAATGACAGAGTATCTTTCTTGTTCTATTTGAACTTGGTGCATCACAACTTTAAAACTTAAATATAACATTTATTTCTGTGATTGCAGTATTTTCACCAGTGACCACATGGAGAAGTTGATAGATCCATTGAGATAAGATGTGTTGAAGAAAAGAACTTACTGTTAATCTTAAAAACTGGCCTCAACTAGGTGCACAAAAGAAAACGTCACTTTGTCACAAACAGACTCCATTTTCTTTGGTCCCCAGACTAAGAGGGCCATGCTCAAAAGCAGTATTTATTGTAAGAGACATCAATTCTGAAGCTCTTTGGTCCTTTCTTCACTGTGGACAAGGGTGAGTAGGAATGGCCAGTGTGTACTTTGTTTAAATGCTTGGCCTCCCTTGGCCTGCACTTTCATGCCATTTCAACACAGGCACCTCCCCTCACCCCATGTGGAGGACACACTGGCATGGCCACTCTGGCCTGCTCACCACCAGCTTACTAGCTCTGTTGATACAGAGGACACTTGTAAGCACCATTTACTTGCATTTTGTACAATTCTGGCCCGACTTGCCCAGCGAGGCTGGGTGCAGTGAAGAGAGATACGGGCACTGCCTTGTGGCAGGGCTGGTGCTCTGGAGTAGTATGTCTTCCCTGTTCCTGGGAGGACACACTCCTGATGTTTGGAGGACTCCACGTCTTTCATTGATTCTCCAGGGTGGGCATAGCCGAACCTGTCTGAGCATTGTGTCCCCGGGCCTCCCTGGCCAGCACGACCTCTTTCACAGTCCCTGTCTCTATCTGCTTCTACATGGAGGCTCTAAATTCTCTGTGCTTCCAACTTCTCTTCTGAGCAGTGGACTGTGAACCCGGAAAAAAAAAAGACACTTACTAGAAAGAAGTCCTGTGGCTAACTGCACTCAAATTTTAAAAAACAGAGCAGAGCAGCCACTTCTGAATAGAGGCCTCCCAGGTAAACTGCACTTCAGGGAGAAGCCTGCACTTGAACTGCCTGCCTGCACGGTGTTTCTGCATCTGAGACAGCCCTTGTAAAGGAGTCCCAGGAATCCTATTTCAACCAAGAGGACTGAGGCTTTCCCGGTGAATTGAGCTGTACGGCTTCAGCCAAGCGACTCTATTCTGATCAATCAGCACAGTGCCTTTTGGACCAATCAAATTTTGAGGATTTGGAGTCCTCATCTGCATGAAGATGGACCAATCAGGGACCAGGGGTAAGGACTCTTGTCTATATAAGTCAGCTCCCACACTTTCCCTTTCCACAGAAGACTGTGGCTCCCTGGTTGAATGAAACACCAAAGATGTCTAGGAGCAGAGCCCTCTAGCTGGAGAGCGTCCTGGCCAGAGGGCTACCTTAGCATCCTGGCCAGAGGGCTACCTTACAACCTTGCTATTTTCACAGCTGTGCTGTATCACAACTGAATAAAGTTTCCTTCTTCATTGCACCCCAAATTTGGGATTCCTATTGGCATTGAATTGGTGCCAATGACCATTGGTTTACCGGACTTATGTCACTCTGCCTCAATGTCTGTCCCTCAAGCCCCTACCCCCTAATTTCTGACCCACCAGTGAATAAGCACCCTCTGTTTTTCCTGAGCCCACCTGTTCCCTCAGTCTCAGTGTTCATCCTCAAACCCTGCTGATGCCACTTCTAAATTCTCACCAAGAAATCCTGCGCACACTTCCGCCCTTCATCTCTCCTACCTAAACCATTGCAAACCTCCGCCAGCAGGTCCTCAGTGTGAGGTTACAAGCCCAAATGCAGAGCTGACCTTACCACCTTGCTGCTTACCTACCTACCTACTGCCCTCAGAGAGGGGTACCTTGGAACCCGGGTCTTTCCACACCAACATTGGCACAGCTTCCAGCCACAGCCTTTGGCACTCCTCCCCACTGTCTGTGTCCAGCCACAGTGGGCAGCATCCTTGTTCCAAAGGAGCATGTGATTCTGAACTGTCCGTCTTTGCTAGTCCCTTGTGCCCTTTCTCTCTCCCCCAAACCAGACAGCATCCCAGGCTGTGTTCTCCTCATCCTGGGAGGCTCTTGTCCTTCACTCCCCACTGGATTAGACCTATTCCACCAAGGCCCCAGAACAAGACTGTGCTGTGTTTGCCTGACAGTCCTGAGACCAAGGAGAGCTCCTAGCACACGGTTTATACCCTACCATATGCTTGTTAATTCATATATGCTCAGGTTATTCCTCAGATAGGGTGGGGTGTGGGGGAGTGGGAAAAGTTAGAAGTGACAAACTTATCTGACATGGCACCCCTGTAAACCAGCATGCCTCACACAGGTCTGGAAAGGCTGCTGGTACCAGCTCTGCACAGAGGAAAGAGCAGGTGTTCTAGCATGTGAACCATGAAAGGACGAGTCCAGGTTCTGAGACAGCAGAAGCAGGGTAGGAAGTGGGCTGCATGTAGTCCACCATGGTTCCTGGGGCAGCCTGGACAGGGCTGACTACCCCCTGGCCCGGAGGTCAGAGGGCAGGGCTGGGAGCGAGCAGCCTCAGTGACTGCAGTGTGTCTGGTTAGACAGCCATGCTCTTCAGCAGCCTTTGGTGGGAAGGGCAGAGAGAGAGGGAGACACCACTGGTGACTAAACCCCACTGCACTGCCAAGATCAGCATCTGATAGAGCAAAACTGAGAGGGGCAGTAAACCTTTTTAAGATGCAAAACACATTTTGGAGGGCAAAAATATCAGTCAGAGACGGTGCTGAGAGGCAGTTTAGCCAGGGGTTAGGGCCTGGTTCTCACTGTGAGGAAGCACTCAGAAATGGTGATGCTCAGCACTGCCCCAGTACCTTTCACCTTCAGAGCCTTTTATAAGATTAACTAGTTAGTCCATGTCTAGGGCCCAGGAGCATGTGAGCTATTATTATGGGGGCGGAGGGGGGGGTGCAAACAAAGGAACTCTGAAATTCCAGCCTCCCCAGCCCAGCCAAGGAGACTAAGGGGGGTTTTCTGCAGCCATTTCCTTTCTGCCCCCTGCCTGTCCTCGGTCCTCATGCCCTCTCTCACTTCGTGTATGCTGCCCTGTGGAGGAACTGATTTCAAACGTTGCCATTGAGCCACCAGTAAGTACACTCGGTTAGGTCATGACAGTAGGGAAAAGACATGAAAGAAAAAGGGAAATGCATTTGGAATGCCTACAGGATAATTAACTCCAGCCACTGCAAGGCATTACTAATAATTAAACCTTTAATGTTGACTTTACAGCTCATTACTCCGATGTAGCAGATGAATATTGCTAGGGGCTTAATGTCCTCCCGTGGAGAACTGGGTGCTGGTATGTGCACAGCGGCACCCGCTCCATCTTTTACAGAGATCATTGCAGCAGTGGGACTTAACAAAAGTGCTGCCTTTCCACCACACCTCGGATGCTGAGTGGTGCTGCTCCCCTGGGAGTGAGGGCAGCACCTCAGCTGGTGTGCAGCATGTGAGGGAGGCAGTATTGGCTAGGTCAGGCTTCTCCAGCTCTCCCAGCGAGCCAGGGTGAAGAGTGCAAACAAAGAACTCACTCATCTTCCAGACTCCAAAGAAGACCCAATCTCCCTTACCCAGTGCTTTCCATACAGCACTTGTCCTGGATCTAACCACCAGTTACCAATGGAGATTCCTGTGTTACCGAAAAGACCTGGCCCTGAGCGGTCTGCGTCGGGCTGGCCAGTAATGTGTGGGTTCTTGACTTCATGCAGGAAAGATTTCACAATATAAGTCCAGGTGATTTTGATGGTACATTTATTAAAGCTAGGGACAGTGAACCACTAGAAGAAGTAACAGGGAGAGCCTAGGCAGAGCTGCTTTGGCTCACTGGGAAGTCAGAGAAAAGGGAGCCTTGGAAACAGGTTCAGGAGTGAGCTGCCACTGTCCATTGCTCATTGTTTGCAAGTCTATGGGGACCCTTAGAGTTTAGCAGGTGCACACCTGTGGGGAAAGAAGAAGGGGAAGGGAAAGGCAGGAGCATGCTCCCGGGAAGGAAAGCTCATGCCAGTTTCTTTGTTTTGAAGGTTTTTTTAAGGCTGGGAGTTTAGGGAAGGTCTCAACAGAATATTCATCAGCTTTCCACGTGTATCTTTTCATGTTCATAGTCTCCACTCAGCACTAAAGCAGGGGGGTCATTAGTCATTGCAGCTGGTCCTGGCATTGCCCACCTGATTTTGCTGCTTTTCTGGGTCTGGAGTTGAAATACAACTGAGGCTTAGATGCTATATCTGGGGAGGTGACCTTCTGCATCTGCTGTAAATTGCTTAGCCCGTTTGTTCAGCTCTTCGTCTCAGTTTCCCTATTTCACTTGCCAATTAATTTTCCTAGCTTCTTATTCTCCTGCCTCACACAGACAATCGGCCCCACCTGATTTTGTTCGATGCTGCATCCCACCACTGGCCTGATAGCGGACACATGTTCAAAATACCTGTGAATTAAATACCAAACCCCTGGAATTAGGGCCAGGGTTAAAGAGCCTCTGGCTGGAGAAACTTTGCCTGCATGTTATTTTCCCAAGGATGTGAGGGTCAGGGTCCATGTAGACAAAATTCCTGTTACTAACAGTGGCTGGGCCCAATGAATGGGGAAATTCTAACAACTGCTCCCTACAGAATGAAACGAACATCCAGAAGAAGCAGCTTGGGCGGAGGCATGGAGTTGGAGAAAGTCACTGACTGGCCTCAAACAGAACAAACCAGGGTTGACAGATAATGGGGAAATAAGCCTGGACTGTGCCAGGGACAGTGGGCAGGCCACAGAGAGGATACTGCTCAACCTCAAACAAACCAAGCATCACAGGTTTGACTGCCCTCAGTATCTACTTGCTCCTTCTTTCCATCAGTGAGGATATTCCAAGTTTCAATTGGGGTCAAGATTAACCAGCTAGGGCTCAGTTGGTTAGAATGTTGTTTCATTTATCAAAAGGTTGCTGGTTTGATTCCCAGTCAGGGCACATGCCTGGGTTCTAA